CCCCTCCACCTTCTCCCCACCGCCCCTCCCCCCATCTCCCCTTCCCCCCGTCCCTCCCCCCTCGCCTCTCCTCCCGGACCCCCCCAGATTTCTAACCTCTTCTTGTTCTCTCTCAGTCTTTCGTGAGGTGAGTTCATAAAGAAGAATACTAATAACTTTCTTATACAAAACTGTAAAGCCCTTAACCACAAAGGAATGAATCTCTGAAGATGGGATTTTAGACAAAACAGGACTTGGGAGAGTGGTAATTAACATTACTGAGTATCTACGCCAGCCAGTAACTTATATGATCATTTAATATTTGCAACAATTAAGGATATAGTTACTAAAGCCCCATTTTACAGATGAACAAACTGAGGTACTCAGAGTCAGAAAGGCGGTAAGTGGCCCAGCCATGAACCAAGCCCAAATCTTCCCAGCTCCCAGCCTGCGAGGCTCCTACCTCTGCTCACTGAGGGCAGGGTAGCCTTCCTAGTTGGCTTAGAAGCCCACTGAGCAGTTTAGAGGCTTACCCCTTCCAGGAGTGAATGATGAAATGTCGTCTAAATGTTCGGTTTATTATTTTCATGTTTTATTCATTTAATATTGTCTTCTAGGGAATGGACTCGATAGGTAGGTAGGTAGGTAGGTAGACATGGAGAGATAGAGATAAATCTAATTCTAAATTAAGACAGGAACTAAAACTTTCACTTCACACACCAGAGGGGAAAGCTGCCTGGCAAGGAGGCTTCGGACAGCAGAGGGAGGACACCCAGTCTGCTCTAGAAACCATGGGCCAGCAGCACCCCACGTTGGGAAGGAAATCTGTCCCCATCAGACTGCCACCTGATGACTAACCTCAGTGATCTTTCCATCCTCCTCAGAGGGACTCGTGGGAACAGACAGTGCCGGAAGGCCTCAGCCAGCCAGACCCCGTGCCAGCCGACGCCCTGCAGAGCCTGGCCCCCAGCACGAGCTGCCTCTCCCAGCTGGAGTTGGGGAGCACCGCCCAGCACCGGAGCTCGAGCTGGGGGGCCCCCCTGGCTGGGGTTCAGCCCTACTCACTGCACGCACTGGAGGATCTGTACCACACGCAGGGGTACCCCACCCCGGCCCCCTACCCCTTCACCTCTTTCATGACGATGTCCAATGACCCACCACCCAAGGTGGGGCCCTTCTCCCCAGACGAGGGGGCAGACACCTCTGCCCTCCAGGACCCTTCTCCATGGACCAAAGAAGATGGAAGCCTGACCTGGGGGGCGTACGAGTGCCGCAGAGCTTACTGAAGGGCACCAGAGGACTTCTGTACATTTCTTTAAGTTGGTTTCTGTATTCACGGATTGTTGTGGTGTGGCCGCTTGGCGAAAATGGGATTTTCAGGATAAGCCATCACGCTGCCTTTTGTTAATGGATGGTGGCCTTTATTTGGGATTCTCCCCACCATCCCTCCACTGAAACACACCACAATGTAAATTCTAGCTAGAAAACCTGACAGTAAGATCTCTGGGGAAGCTTAGTAAGTCACTGCATTCTGAATCTTCTGTTTGCTTTCAAGTACCTATCATTTTAGCACTGATATTTTTATCTTAAACTACATTAAAAACTTTACGCAGATCATAAAACATACCGATTTTCCTGTCCAATTTTTCTTAGTTCTGAACTGTGGGTGTTCTTCTGTGAAAGAGAATGTATAGGCTATAATACAGATTAGAGCATATAAAACTAAACTCATTTTATACCACGTGGCTTTAAAGCGTGAAGCACTATATACATTTCTCTCCTTACGGTAACTTGCAAATAATAAGTAACAAATAATAACTTGCAAGTAACAAATATGGCGCCACATATAAATGCTTTATTGTCTTTAAAATAGGACGAAGTCAGGACCCTACAGCTTCATAAATTCATAATTTTGACTGCCCTAAAGCCCAGGGTGTCCAATACTTAGGCTAATCCAACAAACAACAGAGGCCAAAAGCTTTCTTTGATCAATGGCAGACTTAATTAAGCTAGAGATTGTCTCTCTGATGGAATAAACCTACAGTTATCAGAGTACATGAATAAAATGAACATTCCACGATCAAGTAAGAATGCATGCCTTGTAAGGAAAACACAGAGAGCAGGACTGGGCTGTCGGCAAGAAATGACAGACCACAGAACACCAAGAAGCAAAGGGGCTTTGGAGAAGGACATTTTGTCAAGTGTACACACACACAGCCTCTTCTCTTTGAAGTAAGACCTTGTTGGTTGTTCATTGGTCAGAAATGTATAGTTCTTAACTGTGTATAAATGAAGAAACTGACATCCAAAGCATCAATCTGTCTCGTGTAAGTTTGATTGGTGTGGATTCCTTCGCCAATTAACTTCCCACAGTAATTCCTACCAAGCAGTGTGCCTGTCTGCAGGCTGAGCCCATCATAAATGTCTTGCACACACTTTGACTTTGCAAAGCTTGAGTCAAGGCTCAGACGTTATACCCACGATCTTCCTCTTATTTTATACCACCTTATGTTCTTTATTCCCTTGATCACATTTTTCTGACCCCGTGAGTCCCCCTGTGACCCAGTCTTTTTCTCTCCATCTTCTGGAGGCCCCAAAACCCCTCAATTCAGTCTCCATTACATCCCCTGTGACAGTGTCCCATGCTCTAGATAGGAGTCTAGAAAGTCAAACAGGGGTATTAATTCACATTTAGAAGTGAGTAATTAATATTCTTTCTTTTCCAGGCCTTCAAGGGTATAGTCTGGTTAAGCAAACACACTCCTAATTTGTGGCGTGCTCACAGGGAATACTTGAATAAGAGGCTTCCTCGCACCCCTCAGCTCCTTCCAGGGAGGACAGCCCTGGAGAAGCAGACCAAGGAGGACTGGTGGTCTGCAGGGCTGGGCTGCACTCTCCCAGGTCCCCTGCCTGCTCCTTCCCTCCCACGGCTCCCTTTTACAGGCTGACTTGGCTTTGCTCAATATTAGCTCCTCAATGGAAGGGGGCAGCGTCTACCGTGGAGGAGAGAGAGCTGCTTGTCTTCAGTCTGATGAGACTTGAGCCCTTAGTCCCGACTGCTAGGATGCTTTGCAGTGTCATCCGTCATCCAGCCTCACAACCACCTGGATGGCAGTCCCCAAATCAGAAAGAAGAGATCGGGCCCTCTCTCTGCTTTCAGGGGCCTTCACAAGGAAGAGTTGCAAAGTCACTTTTCTAGACTGGTTGTATAAAATGTATAATAATGTGTTACTAAGTGACACACAACACTAAGAGTTGTGTAAATCATACGTACGTGTTCGTATATCTTTACCTTTTGTTTGATTATAACACTAAACGTAGGCATGCTTATTTCTCTAAGTTTGTTGCTATCTGCTCACCTATTGTGTCCATCTTGTCACAGCCTGAGGATGTGCTGGCTCTCAGGTAAGTAAAGCTCAGTAACCAGTGGTAGCTACCTTCTTCTCAGAGCATCCAGGCCCTTTCAAAGTGTTTGACAAATTTAGTTTATAAAAAAAAGGAGACATACATAGGTCCATAGTCTGTCTAGTAGCCATCCCAGTCCTCTGGTGTAAAGGGGCAGGAGCAGTGGGGAGCGGTGCTGGTAACTCTAAACTATAAATGATTTTTAAGAGTTCTATTTAGCTGGACAACGTGTTGCTACATTGTATATATATAGTTTATTGAAGTACAGTCAATTACAATGTGTGTTTCTCTGGTATGAAGCACAATATCCCAGTCATACATTGCACATATTTTAATTTGGTTCTGTGTTGTTGTTCTGGGAATTTACAATACTTTGTTAAAAAGTGAAACCAAACTACAACCTTATGACAAGGAAATTAATTCTATTTCCCTATCTCATTTCTCATTCAAGTACTCTCTATTTCCTACTGCTTGCCAGGGACTAACCGCACTTTGTTGTAATAATGCACAATGCCAGCATTAAAAAAAAAAAACACATTCTCCTCTCCCGCTCCTTCCTTAAACCTGCTCTGCTCAGGCTCACAGCTTTCCTGGGGAAGCCGGAGAAAAGGTAAGAGCTCAGGTTTAAAACGGCCATCTCTCTCAGGTCTTTTAAGGTTTAACATGAGCAGAGATGGTGATGTCAAGTCCGAGTTAAAGAAAGCTACCCAGATGACCATGTCCACAAACGGTGGAAAGCAAAGCTTGCCCGTGCAAAAGCTACAATACAGGCAGTCGTCCCATAAATCACTGGAAACAGACATGATAGTATGTGGTTGAAAACGTCTGTATTTCTCTTACAGTGTTACACAAACTTCAAAGAATGAGAGGAGAAAAATCATAGCTTTACCTTGTGTATTTAATAAATACTCTTAAATGAGCACCATATTATCAGTTAACAATACAACATGATGGCACTCTTGTGGTAGGGGAAGGCTTCCAAAGTGTGCTACAAAAAACTCCACAAAGGGAAAAGAATGACTCACCCCAATAGTGAATATATATTTACATACATATATATGTATACATATATAAAGGTATTACTAGTATCTTTGTGATCCATTTTAATATGTAAATCTAAATAATACATTCATAAGAAATAAAGCATCAATTATATTTAATGAACTAAAATAACAATTGATGTCCAAGGTTTAAGTTACGTTACATAACAAAATGATACTCTTTCTTTATGCCCTGTCATTGGGTTCTATCCAAGGTATCCTCTCAGTCAAAACAATATTTCACTGTTCACCTTAAACACTATATTCGATAACTATTGATGTTCAAGAGCTTAAATGCAAAACCGTACATCCTGGCAAAACAAGATTCTCTAACTAGACTCATCAAGGGCAGGACTCCTGGCTGTCTCAGTTCTGTGTCCTAAGCACCTGGCTTAGTGCCCAGCATGCTGTAGGTGCTCAGTAAATCTTTGTTAAATTGAGTGAAGATTATACCACGAAGATGAATAACTATTTAGACTCTCACACTGTGGGTGACATTTCTGATGCACAAGAAAGATTTCAGCATGTTTAGTATTTAACATAGTCATAGTTTTTGCAAATCCTGAGAGTTGGAGACAGCTTTAGTGGTAAAATATGTATGATGATTCATTTTACTTTTCAAATGTCTTTTAGAAGGAAAATTACTGAAACTTTGAAGTAGCACAGAAAAATGTTTATATAGTCACTTAGTATCTACGTAAACTATAATATATTGCTAAGAAGTCTTATGAATAAAAGTCAATGTTTGGTATTACCTCTGGTGTGATTAAAACAATTATGACAAATAGATCAGGAATTAGAATTCCCAAAGATCAGGTTAAATAAATAAGATCAGGTTATAAATAAGAAGAAAATCTTCTGTAATTACTTGTAAATGATGACACTGTGTTATATTTGATCTCTGATAGAAAAGTGTCCTCTAATCATAATCTCTGATAAATAACATGTGTGGATTTGCAATATGCAATTTCATTGTCAGTATATTACAAGCCAAAAGGAAAATAGCAACAAAAAACAAAAAAAAACCCAAGTACCAGTTCCAAAAGGGGGAAAAAATGTGTACAAAACAAATAATATCTAAAAATTAGCTCTTCAAATTAGGAAAATTGATAGCCACTCCTGCTAACCTCCTCTCCTAATCAAGTATCTCGAGTAGAAAAATCCAGAAGTTTAAGTCTTAATAGTTTACTCATAAAGGAAAGATCACTTATTTCTTAAGCTTGATAATATATTCAAAGACTTTCATCACAGAAATCCTTATGTTTTTGTATGCCTTAAAACTTGCATCATAGAAATATTTTAAGTAAAAGACTTTTCAAGCAGCATCTGATGGCATCATCCTTATTTAAACGATCAACTATCAAGTGCTCATTCCCCAGGGAAGCCACTTAAAGTAAAATCTCTGAACACGTTTTATTGGAGGAGATGGATTTACCACAGGTCATTAAATGCCATCATCTAATAGTTTTCCTAGTCATTTTCATACGAACCAAACATTCACAGTGCGCCCAGTAAGTACTTGTTTCCTTCAAATTTTTGGAACTTGATATTTCCCACAAGGTTTGGTAACAGTGTCCCCCAGTCAAAATGACAAAAGAAGTTTGCATTAATAAGAAGAATGTAGAGCTGTAGTCAAATTTGTAGGGAATAAACTCCCTTTTTTCCTTATACTGAAAGTCTTTTCATATTCATGAGTCTAATGTGTCTAACTTAATAAAACCTCCTACTTTGGGGGAAAATTATAAGGCTCTGCAGTGTCATTTGCATACAAAAGCCTGCCAAAAAATTTCAGTTTAAATATTCAGTTTAAAGCTTTAAAAGGAAATGAGTTCTATTCCCATGATTCTGATGTTAAGGGACTTTAAGAAGGTCAAAGACAAACGAAAGGGTTTCTGAGCTCAGTGGCCCAGAGATCTGAAATACTATAATACCCAAAGAACTAGAGAAACTACAGATGGTGAACCCCCAAAAGAAAAGGCTTGTGGTGGGGGTGGAAGGGGGCACAATAACTTCTTCAGGCTTAGCACTGGGCCTGGTCAGAGCAGATAAGCAGTATCTGCTTGTTGAATGGATGAATGAAAGAACCAATGAATGAACCAAACAAACCCACGATGGAGGAGCAGTGGTGTGACGCGGGAGAACAGGTCTTCCGTGTTTCTCACCAAGCAGTTGGTGACAGAAAGCAGGGCTTATCTGTCTTTGTATTCCTGGTGCTTGATACCATGCCTGGGACGTAGACGGTGCTCAACTAATAGACCTCACTGGATTTGGGCTCAACCGTTATCATTCTATTCAAAGCCGTCCAACAGTGGAACAGGCTGCCTGACAAACAGTGAGCTTCCATTTCCTCCACACTCATTGATGGGCTGGCTGCTCAGCCAGGCAGTGGAGGGAGCCTGGGACCAGACGACCACCAACAGGGATGTTGGAAAAAGCACCCTAAGTCTGTCTCAGCCCCTCAAAAATCCCAACATCCCAAAATCAGAACTCCACGTGATAGTTTGAAGCAAGTGAGCCTATATTAAAAGCCCATATTTTCTTTCAGACTTTTATTAAAACCCCCAAGAGATGATCAGGAACTATAGGCAGACACCCTGGAAGTGACAATGCCCCCCCCAAGAAAGAAGAGTTCCCAGTCGGAGAAGTACAAACTGTCATTAGCATAATGAATTGCTCCCCACCCCCAGCCAGTCTCTTCTCTGTTTGGTTCCGGTGACCCATGTTTACAGACCACCCTCCAATCGGTAAGCTGCCCTGTCTTAGCCTCCTGACACACCCAAACAGTAGAGTAGCCAGCACACCTCGTCCCGGAGCACAACACTGACCAGTGGGTTTGCAAGTCTCACAGGCAATATTTCCCAATGTTAGTCGCAACGCATTAGTGGGTCATTACATTATCTTAGTGACTCCCAGCCAACATAAATTCTCCATAAATAGAATGAGATGGAAAAGATGGAACAGAACAGTTCAGAATGCCTCATGTACATAGGTATGCATTGTTCCCTGACAAGTTTGCTTTGTAAACATATAAATATTGTTATAGATTTAGTATGTGAACATGTCAAATGAATTTCTTAGTGTGGGTTGAAGTCAAAAAAGTTTTATATATACATATAACTGAAACACTATGCTGTACACCAGAAATTAGCACAACACTGTAAACCGACTATACTTCATTAAAAACAAAACATGTTTGAAAACATCCGCTATAAAAGATCAGGAAGACAACAATGACAGTTAAGAGTAAGGGTTTAATATCAGGTTTATCGGCATTCGATTCCCAATCCTGCCATGTGTGTGCGCAGTCATCTTGGTGCAGCTGCTCTTCCCTCTGAGCCTGTTTTCTCATCTGCAAAATGGGGAGGCTATACAATACTGTACCTGACATGCAGTAAACAATAAAACACAAACTTTTAAAAGTCTGTGAGGAACATCCCATTCTATGGGCTCTCAGGCCTCATGACACTTGTAGAGCCATAAGGAGGATTCACAGAAAGCAGTTTAGGAGGATCCGCCCTCATACCCACAAGCGTGGCATTTGGTTCTTAAATACCTGTGCTGGGGCCTTGCAATTATACAAACAGCAGGAACCAAACTCCTTCATGTTGTGCTAAAAACTGGGCGGGGGGGCCCTTCTTTCTCAAAACAAGGCTCGGGACTAAGGAAACACAGGTTCTGAAGCCGCTGGCTAGCAACAGCACTGGAACAGCCATCCCAGTGGTGGGGGCTGACACAGAAGCCCCCAGAACTGCTGCCCTGGTTTGGCAGAGGCTGCTGGAGGGAAGGGACAAAGAAGTCTATGCTGTCCCTACAGACCCCGTGACTTCTAAGGAGCTCATCTCTCACCCTGCCCTGCCACCTTCTCCAAAGGGCAGCCAATCAGCAGCATCAATTTCAATGATGTTGCCAAGGGAACTAACTCAGTGGCCTCCTGCCATCCCTGTCCATCCCCACTACATGTAGAAAGCTGGGAAGAAAAACAGCAATGCAGGTGAGAAATGGAGGGAAGTAATGACAAGAAGAGAAAGAGAAAGAAACTTGGCAAAAAATTAACAGAAAGGCCAAAGGGTAAAGAGGAAGGTTTTTAAAAGCAAACTAAAAAATAAGATAGAACAAAAAGGAGGCGAGAAGAGTAAAGAAGTTATGGAAAAGTTAGGAGAACAAGAGCCCCTCCTTAATTCTGTGCTCTTCTGCCCACTGTTCCTTCAGAAGGAGCGGTGTCCGTGCACAGCAGGGCAGGGAGAAAGGACACAGGGGCTCTCTGAACTCCCGGAGTCCTTCCTCTCCTCAAGAGTCTGGTCCTAAGGTCTGTCAGGGAAACTCAGGACACAGGCCCAGTGCCTTTGAAGAAAGAGGCTGCAGAAGTTGACAGATTCCAGCTGGGCTGGGGACAAACACACCTCACATCTCCTGCCACGTGCCACCTCAAGTGTTCCCAGCCCTGTTCCCCTCATCCAGAGATGTGGCTTCAGTTGCCAAGCAATGCTGATCAGTCAGAGACTCTGGTGTCCTGGCATTCCCAGAGAGCCCATTTCTCCCGTCTCTGTGTGCTCCATCCTGCATCGGACACATTCCAGGGCATTCAGGTATTCTTCTGAATGTGGGGCTCAACTCTACTTTTTGCATCTCAGAGAACTCAGGGAACAAAGAACAGGGGCCTATCATCTGCATCTGGCCTGGCAACATGGGAATGACTTGGCTTATCTGGGAAGGGAACCCCACCCTGCCTCTTCATTTTCTGGTGCTGCCCCTGCCCTTGGGGGCCATGAGAGGATCTGGCCCGGCACCCACTCCCTCTCTGGACCACTCCTGCCTGCTCAAGCTTCCAAATCATACAGAAGAGGTGCAGCAGGTGCTTGGAGAACATAACCCAGCACAATCCCAGGTCATCTGTGAGGGGTGCAGGCCTGGACTGAGGGCGCAGCCTGACTTCAAACCCCTCCCACCTCTCATCCAAAGTGTGAAGGCCTGAACACAAATCCACATCCTTTTAGCTAAAACGAGCAGGAGTCAGCTTACCAACCTTTCTCAGCACATGCTCCTGCAGCAAAAAGGCAGGGGTGGCTCCAGAGGGAAAAAGAGCAGAGAAATGGGGACTTCATAGTGACAAAACACCAGCCTCAGAAACTCGCTAGAGGGTGAGGCCCCACAGGCATCCCCAGCTCCGTGGGGAGGAGCAAAGGGTCTTAGTGGGCAGGGATCCTGTACTAAAACCCCAGTGTCTGGAGCCCCAGCAGAGAGCGGAAGAAAGGGGAGGGAAGCCAGCACGTGGCCAGGCGGGGCCGGAAGCACACGAGGCGCAGAACTAAGGCCTCTGCAGGCCTCTGGCCTGCAACCGGCGGCCCTGAGTGACTCCTTGCAGGGCCAGACCCACCAGCTGCCATATTCACTCCCCTAAAATCAGAGATTTTCCCTTAAAATGGAGACTGGGGAGGTGGGAATCAGTCAGCCCTGCTAGCCTGGCTCAGGTGGTCACGAAGGGCAGCCTGAGTCACCCCAGGCTCCTGGAGCTGCCTTTGAGGCAGAAATACAGAGCATCTTTGAGGACTCCTGCTCTGTCTGGGGGAAGGTGGGCAAAATGCTCAAAATACCATAAAAGCAAGGGCCAGGACCCAAAGGGGTCTCACTCCCTGTTTCTGTGGACTCTCTGTGGGGTGCCTGTGTGCAGGATTTCTGCAGAAGATAGTCCATTTTGTTAAGCCTTTGAATATTCAAATTGAAAGTATCGCGCAATCATTGATTGTCAAATCATGGGTTTCTAGAGGTTTTAAATACTTGGCATGAGGGGGAAAAAACTCAAACCTATACCCGAAGGTATAAAACATTAATTCTGTTTGTCTCCTGCTCCAGGAACCTGGGTGCAGCTGGATGCTTTGTGAAACTTTAAAAATGTTGCATCTCTGCTTCTGTCCCTGCACAGGAGCCCCTCCTAGGCGCTGAGTCCCTGCAGCTGCAGCATCCAGCCACCGGCCCAGCCTCTGCTGTCCACGATGTCGGGTAACTCGGCTGCTTCTCCTTGGGGAAGGGTCACGCGGGCGAGGGGCGTTTGTATCCAGGTGCATTCCCACGTCTTTTCCTGCATGGAACAGAGAGGCACAAAGTCAGGGCATGCAAGTCTGAGCCGGGGGATCCCGAGAGGGCACGGGGCACGCGGTGGCCGCTCCCACTTGGCGCCTGCTCCCGAGGGCAGAGG